TAACCCCTTCAGGCTATATATTTTCCTCCCTGCCTCCAACCCTGTTCCATTTTACGTTACAACTCACACACACACCCCAACTCACTCCTGTCCATGCTTAAGATGAAATGAAATATACAAGAATTTAAGCCCAAACGAGTCTATATTTAGTTTAAAGGCCCGCTGTTATTTAATTGGAATAAAATTACTACTGACATCCTTATTCCCTTGGTTGAAAGTTATCTTCCTTTCTCTGAACTCCTAAACTGTATAATTTTTGTTATATATCACCTTCCTATTTTTAGTTATTTTTGCAAGTTTTTGTATTTTTTAGTAGAGACTATGAGTCCTTAAGTCTGAGATTGTGTCCTGGACGTTCTTGAATTCCTTAGAGCACCCACCATGGTATTTTACACTGAGTGGCCAGTCATTATTTCATTCTTATATTAAATGAGTTTGTACTTTGTAAAGTGCTTCAAATAGTGTCTGCACATGTAAGTGCCACTTAAGTTTATTAAATTAATGAAAGAAACAGGTCAATTTTTCCTTTCTACTGAATTTTTCCCACGAGTGTGATTTTCCCATCTCCTACATTAAAGAAACTTCTTTTTGACCTCATGTCCTCCAACAGTTACTGTCCCATTTCTCTGTTCCTATTGAGTCACCAAAATAGTCTAAAGCTCAGTGTCTCCATATTCCTCTCTTCCCATTCTCAAATCCACTTAACCTGCTTTTCTCTCATCAATCCACCAAAAAGTTTTTGTCAAGGTGACTCAACAAAATCTAAAGATTTTGCACATTACTAAATTTAAAGATGAGTTCTTAGTCTCCTCCTTACTTGACCTATCAGCAGCTGAGGCCTCCCTTCCTGTGAGGAGTTTCTACCTGTGGCATCCAGTACACTACGCTCTCCTGACTTTCCTCATCCCTCACGGGCCACTCTTCCTCCTCCTCTTCTTAACCGGGAGTGATAGGGCTCACTCCTTTTTCTTCATCTCTTCTTTACGTAAACTCGTTCCCTCTCTTGATGACTTTACCTAGTCTCATGACTTTAGATACCATCTAACTGTGATACCCCCTTAAATGACATTTTCAGCCCAGACCTTTCTCCTATATTCCAGACTCATATAGTCAATTGTCTATTTGACATTCCCACTTAGACGTCTAACACTAATCTCAAATTGATCTCTTGCTCTTTCCCACAAAACCTGCCACACTAGCAGACTTTATATCTCAGTTAATGACAAATTCATTCTTCCAGCCATTTAAATGAAAATCCTCTAGTCACTGATTTCTCTCTTTCATACCTTACATCCAATCCACCAGAAAATCCTGTTGGGTTTACATTCAACATACATCCAAAATCTGACTACTTCTCATCTTCATGTCTGCCATTTTAGTTTGAGCCATAATCCTATCTTGCCTAGGTTACTACAATGGCCTCCTCACTGGTCTTCCTTGCCAGAACATAATCTGTTCTCAATACTACAGCTAGAATGATCCTTGAAAAACCTAAGTCAACCCATGCTACTGCTCTGCTGAAAATTCTTCAGTAAATTCATTTTACACTCAAAGAGAAAGCCAGCCTTTAAAAATGCCCTTCAAGGACATATCTCATCTGGTCCTCTGTATGGGAGATTAATAGCCATAATTCATTTTATCCAGTACTCCTTCCGTTTACAAGTTAACCTTCTCATTCCTCCCATCAATAAGTGGAATCTGTTTCTCCATCCTGTGAAATGGAGTTTGGCCATGGACTTGCTTTGGCCAAGTTTAACATTATCAAGTGTGACACAAGGAGAGAATTGAAAAGTGTTTGTGTATTGGGGCTTCAAGTGCCAGACCTGTGAAGGAGGCCATGTTAGACCACGCAGCAATGAGAGTGACCCTTGGGCAAGATCAGCACAAGAACCATCCAACTGAGCCCAGCCCAAAGAGCTGACTCACAGAACTATAAGCTAATAAAATAGTTGTTTTAAGTCACTAATTTTGGGATAGTTTCTTATAAAGCAACAGATAAGACACTCTGTTATATCTTCAACATACCAATTTCTACTACTCTTCCCTTGCTTATTCTTGCTCTTGTCATACCAACCTCTGTCCTCTTGTAGACATGAGGCACACTCCTGTCTTTGTTCTGGCTATACCTCTGCCAGGAATATTCATTCTTCAGACAGTTGTATGGCTGACCTGCACACCTCTTTCAAACCGTTTCTCAAACATCTCTTTTTAAATGAGGTCTATGCTGACTCTCCTACTGAAAATGGCGATCCACCCTCAGCATGTCCAGTTGCCCTTACCCAGCTATGTTGTTTTCAAAAACCCATCCTTCTTTCACATACTCCATAGTTTACTTCTTAGGCTTCTTAACTGTTATTGTCATCTCTCCCAACTATAATGTAAGCTATATGAGGGCAGAGGATTTTTCTGTATTGTTCACTGATATATCCCAAGACCAACTCAAACCCCAAACCCAGATACATAGCAGACTTTCAGTAATTTTTTGTTCACTGAACAAATGATTGATTTACACTACCCTCTGTAGCAAGTAGGACATACTGGGCTGGCATTTAGTAATTCCTGGTATAAATGAAAATAATCTAGGGCAACTGCTTTTAAGCTTCAAGTCAGAGTTCTTTACCTTTTTTCCCTCTAGCAGCCTTAAGGGATACAGTACATTCTCATGAGCTTGCTAATTTTGAAGAAGAGAGGACATTTTGAGCACTGGGAGTAGGGAAACACTGCAACCTGGAACAGTCTCCTGCCAGTGTTGCATACTTCTCATCCACTGTTCAGATCACTATTCCAGTTGTTTCTTTTGAATGGAACTCAAAAAAGAAACTCTACAATTACAAAACAATAGGGGTAGACCTTTGCATTGTTCCTATGGGATCTGACCTTTACGTGGCACACTGAGACCTATGGGATGATGAGATTTAGGTCAAGCAGCAGTTAGAAGGTTCACATGTGAGAGGAGTTTTATCTTTCAAAAGTTCACCATTTAAAGCAGTGACAGCCCAACATAAACACTTGTTTAAAAAGTTATAGCATCTATGTGTGACCAAATGGTTACACATTTGTATAGATAACTGAGGAAATGTCAACACTGAAGGAACAGTCTAGAATGTTTGCATTATATACATGAGTTTAACATAAACATACAGATGTGTGGTGTTGCAGAGTTATTAAGAAAGGAAAAAGAATTATCTATCTTTAGAACCAGTCAACATCTAGGGATATTATAATCATGTATTTAAAATACAGATGAAAGTTGAATATACATAGAATGGGTTTTATAGTGTCCCACTTTAATAGAGCTCTCATTTCCTAGAGCCAGATACATTTTCCTCTCTTGAGTCTTCCTTCAAAATATTCATTCTGTAGTTTAGAATGAACTCTTCACAAAGCATGCTGCAATCTCATGCAAAGAAGCCATAGATGAACCCCAATCTATAGCAGTTTGATGTATCCAGATAGTTACATTAAAAAATCCAGACACTGGAGCAAGTACCTCATTTCTGAGTATCTTAATCATTGTTTTAATCAAAGTATTTTAGTTCACCAGAGTCAATGAGTAGTTTGAGCAAGTGAGAGAAAGACACAGGTAGGGAAGCAAGCAAGCAGTTTAATCTACAACAACCAACCATTTACTCAGGTACTAAGAGTATTTTTTTAGCAAACTTTCTTTACTCATGAATTAATACAATCAATGCAGAAAATAAAATCAACTTAAAATGTTTAAATTATGTTTAGATTTCCTTCCTCCCTCTGGACTGTCAACAGTGGACAAAAAGGAGTTACTTTCTGTTATTACTATTAGTCTCCGCTCCCTAACCTTTTGGGACTGTCCTGTGAATTCTTTCCTTTGGACCACCCCATTCAATCAGGGCTAGCATTCTTAATAAAACATATATAATTAAACTGACCTTTAATAACCTCACAACAGAGATGTGCCAAGATTTTAAAATCCAAGATACAGAACAAACAACAGAAGTAAAGGGTACAGGGCAGAGGCATAAATCTGTTACAACAACTGGTAAATTCTCTGCCATAAGGCATAAGAGAGTGATTAATATCAAACCTGAGTAAAAATCTGTTTGGATCTTAAATCCAAGGTTCAACAGCAAACAGTATTAATGTACGTTAACTTTAAAATCAGGTAAAACTATACAGAATCTGTTTGCTCTTAGAATTTATCTTTTAGAAAATATCTGTATTATCATCTATATAGCCAACTGAAAAAATCATGGTAAAATCTATCTCAAGACCAAGTTTTCTACTTAAGAATATAGATGAAATGTGAAAATGGTAGTTGCACTGCATAAAGCTGGATCATCTTCCTACCCAGTTGTATATATACCTCAGGAACCTGTTCTGATCTGGAGACATGAATTTTAGCACTCAGATTATGTGCACACTGCTTTACAATTCAGAAAATTGCCAAGTCTTTGGGAAAAACACACTGAAAACAAGTGAGTGATGAGGGCCTTTTCTTTTTAATGTGAGAAATATTTCAAATGGCTCTAATCCAAATTCTTATTTGTTATGCATGCCTGGCATCTTCAAACTTAACCCAGACTTTTCCCAAGCTACCACAGGCAAGCACAAGTCTTTTATTAACTGAAGGAAACACTTATTTTCTGATAACTAGCCTGAGAGAGTAAAGATGACATTTACTCTGCACTGAAGCAGCCCATCACACGGGAGAGCTGGGACATTCCACTATGATCTGAGCATGCCCACACAGAGCACTCTGTACATTCTGCCCGAACAGCTATGGGTAAAATGAACAACTAGGAAACACATAACATGCTTCTTGATTATTGCAACCTCATACAAGTCAGTCCAAAAATAGCCAATGCCTGTGGCTGAGATCTAATGCTGAAAAATGCTAAGTTTCAGCAGCTAAAAGCATATCCTGTGTCTGTCTATACAACCAGCCCCCACTTAAAGCTGCAGAATTATAGGATTAAGGAAGAGAGTTTAAAAAGAAGACAGATACACACACATATACAACATACGGTTTCCGAGGAGAGTGAGGGCTCCATGCTTGTAAGGGAGAAGGAGGAGGAATATGCCGAATAACCCTCGGGTTTCTCCCAGATTTGAACATGCTGTACTGTGGCATGAGGTCAGCAGAGACTGACTCCAGCCCTGTGAGGCTGAATTCTACCCTGACAAAGCAGTATCACTGTAATATGAAGCAAAAGGATCCAGGGCATGTTGGCAGCTATGCAGAGTGGTTGTTCTAGAAAGTAAGGGCAATTCCAAAACAAGAGATCTATGCTGTCACATGAGATAATCTTCAGCCCAGTTAAGCAATAAGCACCAAAAATACTTTGAATCCCAAATGCGGACATCTCAAAATATTAAAGGTAGGAAAGAACTTTTCTCCTTGAGCATATTTTGTGTCTGGAGGAAATGAACAGGAAGTGGGAAATCTGAAGAGCTATTGGTTTACCTGGCTTATGTCACAAATAATATTCTGATTCTGATCTGAGGCATAGTTTTCTGGACACTGTCACCTAGCCAAGAAGCCCCAAACCTTCTCTGTGACTTTACAAAAGAACAGGGAGAATATTCTGAAAAATGTCTAAGTACCCAGGTATGTTAAACAAAGATCTTGATAATTAGGTCCCTGTCTACTTTTCCCATTTCATCTCTGTGTTCCAGTCACTGCCACTATTGCCAATTTAGAGGTGGAGAAATGGAAAAATACGGAGGTTAGTAACTTGCCCAGATTTAAATGCTAAGTGGTAGGGCTGGGATTTAAAGTCACACTGTACAGTTTTGGCTCCAATTCTTACCTACTATGTAGTTACATTTATGATAAGAGTTCTATCTTAAAGGAATCAGCAGAGACAGAACATGAGCACCTAAGGGCTGGAGAAAAGCTTCAAAGAAAGAGGTAGCTGAGCTCTTGACCGAATAACTGAGGCACTGTTCTGGGCTGTAGAGAAACATTAGAGAATAGATTATACCTACATAGCTGGGGAAGACAGCCAATAAACAAATAAATATATAATATGCATCCACTGGTGATAAATGTTGTGAAGAAAATAAAAGCAGAATAAAGGGGATCGAGGATGATGGGTCTCTCCAATAAAATAATATCTGACCAGAGATCTGAATGGAAGCATGTGGATATCCAGAGAGAGATACCAAGTTCAAGGGTCCTGAGAGAGGAATGTGTTTGGTGTACACAAAGAATGCCAAAGAAGCTGAGCAACCAACAGAGGGAATTATAGAAAATAAAGACAGAGAGGCTTGGTGGAGAGAAGCAGGGTTAGACTGTGTACAACACTGTAGGCTACTGTAAGTCAGTCACTGGAAGTCTTGAGCAGAGGAGAGATAAGATCTGATTTGGGTTTTAACAGGGTCATTCTAAGTGGGGAGAGTTAGGGACAGGGCAGATGTAGGAAAAGCATGTAGTAGACTATGATGGTCCATGCAAGACAGCTGAAGTGCCTATGACATGTTATTTGACATGTATTGAGGGAGCAAAAACCAGGTCTGTTAACACATAATGAAAGTAGGGTGGGGAGGAATAAGGAAGAAAGAAAGAAAATAAATAAAAGGCTTTTCATTTATAAGATACACTAGCTTTATTTTTATAAATATGCATTCACTAATACTGAATTAGATACACATAACTTCATTATTTACAGATTTCTGAATTTCTGATAAAGTTTTCTGGGATCTTTATTTATACTCAAATACCTAAACAGGTAATCTTAGAATTTCTAATACAATTTTCCCATTTGTTAAGAATCTTACTTATATATAACCCACCATTTTAATTTTTTTAAGTCTAGAGAATAAAAATATCAGCAAATAGAAAAAAGTTACTGGGCACTTTTAAAGCAGGTAGTTTAAAAAATATTATATATGCAGTTTTCCATATTAATGAGTTTTGCTTCAGGTCATTCTTATAGGGACCTCTGAAAGAACAATTTACTTTAAATATGAATTGTTGTGTTGGTATCTAGACTATCAAAGGGAATTTTGATTCTGTTTTAGGATATACAGAGAACAGTTCCCAGAAAGGTTGTTACTATCAATCAAAAAGGAGTAATTGTATTTCAGTTTTGAGTTCTAAGCTTCTTAAGATCTTAACGCAAGGCCATCAGACATTAAGTTTGTGAGGACAGTGAACCATCCCTTTGGTGTATGGGTTTTAGTCCACTGCCAAAGCTACAAGGCATGAACTAAGATTTCCGATTTCCTTCCATGAGCCAGGAGAGTAACAGCAGGGGCATCTGATAAATTATATAAATCTGTACGTACAGAGAGATACACACTTTACAGCTACAGACTGTAGGCCAAAGTGAACAGGCATTAGTAGGGGACAAAAAGACTCAGTCTGCCATACCTCATCCATGGAGGAAATGTGTGACTAACAAAGCAATGAAAATCTTATTACACCTCTAAATCACTCTCTTTAAAGTCCGAGACAAAATTTTCTAAGTAGAGGGACCTTGCATTAATTTACTCAGTAAATATTACCATGTGCCAAGCACTGTCTTTGGCATTTAGGGATAAAAAAATGGATGATGAACCGGTCTTGTTCTCTACTGACTTAAAGGACTATATTTTCTAGACTACTATTTCTCAACATGTAAAAAAACTTCAGTTCCTCTTTAGTACCTTCTCTTTCTATAGTCTATGTACTCTCACAAGCCTGGAATCTTTTATTATACTTTGCTTTCAGTAGTTGATATTTCAAAAACAAGAATTATACTTTTTTTTCTTTCAAATTACACATCTCTATCAGAGATTCTGGTATATACAGCCTTGTCGGAATGTTAAGAAGCACTGTTCAGCTCCAATACCTCATTTTGTAGTGTCAGACTCAAGGCTTTTTGAAAGAAGTGAAGGATGCAGTTGTGATCATATCAGATCTGGAATCCATGTTTTCTAATTCTGTGTGTTCTTTCTACCACACCATGTGTTGCCCTCCTACCGTTTTTTCTTACTTCATGCATTCATTCAATTCATGGCATAACTATCTGGTTCTTATGTTTACCACTGTTTAAAAGCAAAGTCACAAAGATGTGAGCAACAAACAAAACACCCTTGATTTCTGTAATGCACTCACTGTGTAGGATGTTTCTGATTTGGTATTCCTGCCTTACACCTTCACTACATAAATTCTCTGTGGAGGCTCTTCTCGGACAAATTACATCTTAGGATGCTATCTGAATACATGAACAACAGGGTTCCTTCCCAGAGCCCAAATTTATCCTGAGGTTGTGCAGTGCTCTATGGGCTCTTTAGCGTGTTTTTTAAAAATTGAGATATAATTGACACATACGTTGTTAGTTACAGAGGTACAACATAATTTGATACAACACTATTTGATATTACAAAAATGATTACCACAATAAGTTTAGTTAACATTCATAACCACACATAGCTACAAATTTTTTTTTCTTGTGATGAGAACTTTTAAGTTCTTAGCAACTTTAATTTTCTTAGCAACTTACATATGTGAGCTCTTTTGGAACCCCATTCCCTGTAGTGAGGATCAATAAATGACAGAAAAAATTATGAGGGAAACTGATCAGGTACACAAAAAATGAACTCAAACCTTTATAAAGATGTAGGTCTATAATTGACACAGAAAAATAAAACATTTCAAGATGTTTCAAATAATCACAGTTCACATTTTTTAAAATAACAGGCAATCTTTTTCAATTACTCCCTCTTAGATACTTGAATTCCCTAATTTTTTTTTAAGAAATACAGGTAACCCTCAAGGAAGCTCTATTATAAGAAGAAGAAAAAAGGAACAAAATGCACTCACTGTCTGTGATAGACAGTAATTTGGAGGTCCCGAATGAGCCATACTCCTGGTATTTGTGCCCTGTACCATACTTGTAACACATTGATTTTCAGTTTGGTCTTGGGACTTGCTATAGCAAATGTGCTTTTTAGCAACAGGATGCAGACAGAGACTTGGTAAGTGCTCGGAAACGGGATTATTCTTTTTGAACACTTCTTGGAACCTAGCTGCCATGATGCAAAAAAGCCCAACAGGTCATACAGAGAATAAGAGTACTAAGAGCAGGAGAATTATGGTCCCTGGCTAACAGCCACAGCCGAACTCTGAGTTGGAGGCCAGTACAAACTGTTAGCCATGTAAGTCAGACTATTTAGATTTTCTAGGCATCCCAATATCCCAGCCAATATGATGTAAAGCTGGGTCACCTGGTCAGTTCACAGAATCATGACATAATAAACTGTCACTTTATACCACTAACATTTTAAAAAAATGTTTCAAACTGACACTATAAAATTGACCTTTTAGGCATGTATACAGTTCTATGAATTTTAAAATATGCATAGATTCATTGTAACTACCAGCATAATCAGGATACAGAGTCTCTAAAAGACTCCCTGGTGTAGTCATTCCTAAACCCATCACTGACCTACACCCATTCTTTTTACCAACGTCTTATTTTCTTGAGAACATGATATAAACAGAATCGTAAGTACCTAACTTGTTCAGACTATTTCTTTTATTCAGCCCTTGAGGTGCATCCAGGACGTTGTATGTATCAGTGGTTCATTTCCTTTTATTGCTGAACAGTAGTCCACTGTGGATGTACCACCAGTTATCCACTCACTTGCTGAAGGACATCTGCATAATTACCATTTTTTGGTGATTAATAACAGAACTGCTCTAAACATTATTGTTAAGGTTTTGTGGAAATGTTAAGTTTTCACTTCTACAGATCAAAAACCTGGGAATGGATTTATTGGGTCACACGGTCAGTATGAAAGAAAAGAAAACCACTAAGCTGTTTCCTAGAGTGGCTGTACCATTTTCCTTTCCTATAAGCAGTGAAGGAGAGCTCCAGTTATTCTCTGTATCCTTTCAGCATTTGGAATTGTCAGTTTTTATTGTAGCCATTTGACTAGTGGTATGATGGTTTTAATTTGCATTTGCTTAACAGTTAATAATGCTCAACATGTTTTCATGTATTTTATTTGCCATTGTACTCCATCCTCTTTGGTTAAGGGACTATTTAAGACATTCAACCATTTTTAATTGGATTTTTCTTTTTTAACCGGTCAGTTTTGACAGTTCAAAAAATATATTCTGGGAGGAGGAGCCAAGATGGCGGCATGA